AATAGCTTAATAAGCATCAGGATGTTCATGGCTAAGATTGCAAACTGGTGGCCCAGAAGCCACTTAGGGTCACATATGGTCCACAGACATGTCTCATGTGGCTCTCCCAATGGTTTAATCAAACATTTGTGTCTGGGTTTGTTCTTTTAATCTGAAAATCTTCTTTCTGGGACAGAACTTCATCTTCCATGATTTACACTTTTTAGAAACAAATGAACGGGAAGGCAGCTTGGAGAGTAGCTAGCTCAGGAAGCAGTGTACAGTGCAGTAGTCAGGCCCTTAGAGGGTGAGAGGCTTTTCTCCCAAATCACACGACTGTGGATGAGATCTTCAGGTTCCAAGGTCAGGACTCGTGTCACTGCGCCTCCCAGTGTGTCCCCAAGGGTGTGGGGGTGTGCGCTCCAGCCTCTTGCTACTGAGTGTGGTCCACGGACCGGCAGCTCCAGTCTTGTTAGAAATGCAGAACCTCAGGCTCTGCCTCAGACCTACCGAACTGGAGAATCAGAATCTGATTTTAACACGATACCTCCGTGATTTGTGTGCACAGTGAAATTTGGGAAGTGCTGAAGATAGCTTCATTGAAGTCAGGAAAAAAAAGCACTTGCGTAGGATGCTAGTGTTTTTGTCTGGGGTGGGACTGGGTATGGAGTGTATGGACTGGTTCTTAGCTCATCTCCTCACCATTCCTCTAATTCTCCTCTTCCCCTCCTCCTCCGAATTCATAGGCCCACACACATGCAGATGCCACATATGCTTGCACTCATACACGTGCACGCGCGCTCTCTCTCTTTTTCAGGCTCTGAGCCATTTACAACCTGGTCTCTGTCCTGATCTCCAGCCCCAGTCCCTCACCAGGTCCCCCATGTGCACGGTGCTCTTCTCGCACTGAACTACTTGGCTGGCCGTTGCCCGACACATCAGGCGTTCTTTTCACCTCCCCATTTTTGTCCGTGCTATCTGCACCTGCCTGTGATACACCCCCACCACCCAGATGAAGACCTGACTAACTTCTCTTTGTCCTTCAACAGCAGCTCAATGTCTTTCTCTTGGAAGCCTTCCCATGTTGGGTGAGGCGTATCCAAGCTCTGCTCCTTCTCTGTGTTTTTATAATGCCCGATAAATACTTGGACTGGAGCACTCTTTCTCACCAGGAGATAATCACTGGTTTTGTTGTTTCTCTCCTTGAACGGAAGAAACCATGCCCCACATAGCAAGCAGTCCTGGGGGTGAGCAAATGAAGAAAGGATGAACTGACACAGAGCTACGAAGTCTGACCAGTGCTTATCTCTAAAGAGCAGTCAAGTCGAGGAGTTAAAGCATAGGCTCTGAGGTCAGAGTTACTGGTTCTAAACCTTGATATTTTCATCAGTTGTGTGACCTTGGGGAGCGACTTTCTCTCTCTGCAGATCGGTTTCCTTCTGTATAAGGCAGGCGCGGTAACAGTGTCTCCGTTACAGGTTGCTGGGAGCATTACATGGGGTGAGCAATGCCTGTGAAGTGCTTGGTGTGGGGGCTGCCTAGTGGCAAGTGCTCACTCTGTGCTGGCTCTTTTGCTGCTGTTACAGGATACATCAGGCTCCCAAGTTTGTTTGGCACTTACTGCCCCATTGTTTACTGCTGTGTAACTCGGTGGCTTACAGCCACTGTCGCCTTTACTTTCCTCATGAATCTGCAGTTCGCTCAGGACATCCCTCCCTCCCTTCCTTCTTTTCAGCATCAGGTTCTTTATTCCAAATGTTTGTTGACCAGGTATCACGAGAGAAGCACAAGGCATTCGTTGGCTGAATGGAGAGTTGGAAATTCTCGGCAAGGAGTGGTTCTAAGTGGAGGCTAACAGCAGTTGGAAGTGGAACAGACCGAACTTGGAAAAAAGAAAAAAGAGTTCTCTCTTGCTCTGATCTGGAAGTCTAAATGACCAAGTATAAGGAATTGTGGAAAACTCCAGTGTGAGAGGGGTGGTGGTGACCTCCCAGGGGCCCATCTGGGAGTGCGGAGGAAGGGAGGGCCTCTCAGATGTGGGGCTTCTGCCCGTGGCATGGTGTTAGGTGAGCTGTCTAGGTCTGAGAGAGTAGAATCCAGTCCTGGTTGGGCATGGGCAGAGTTTGGGACTTTCCAATTGGTTGGGGCATCAGATGCTGGTAGGAAACTAGCGTGGGGACCAGACTCTCAGGACTGGGCACAAAGCCAGTCATGTGCATGGCACCACCAGGTGAGAATCAGAGGAGCTGCAGCCTGGGGCTCACCCAGCACCTAAGCAAATTCATCCTTGCTGGAGCTGGGTCATGGCAGCAGAAGACGATTTTAAGATATCCTCATCACTTAACTAATTAGCAATGACTGTGCTAAGTGAACACATTATTGACTAAACCACGAAGGAAATTCTGGAGAACGTCTTTCACGTGGTGAAAATATTAAATACAAATTAGGTAAGTATCCTTTTGCTCAGCCTTGAGGGTAAATCAAATGATGAACACAAACTGCCTTTCACAGAAAGGAAGCTTCTCCCCTCCTGTGGATGCTTGGTTCACGCAGGAGTGAGAAAGGGAGTGAGAAAGGGAGTGTGAGAAGGGGAGAAAAGGAGAAAGAAGAGTCCTGCTAGACATACACTTAGTGGCTAAGAACCAGGCAGGATGAGGTCTGCTGGGAACCAGATGCTGAAAGCCCCCAGCTGGTCAGGGCTGGATCAGACAGATGAACTCACAGTCTAGCAGGGAACACTGACTCTCATGTCATTACAAAATAGCATGACCCAGGCCTGCGTTGGGTTTGTAAGCCTAGACTCACTTTCTCAAACACAAGTGTCAGTGACACTTACGTAGTGGGCAACTGCTCACTGCGTTTTCTGAGCTGCGGGCTGGAAAACTGGTAAACAGTGGATTCTGAGCCTCACTCTGTCACTTCTCTGTGTGCCCTCCACGTGTGTCCAGGAGCACAGGGTCAGCAGTTTCCCCTAGATGGCCCCATGCTGGGCTCTCTGCAGCTCTTTGTCCTACTGTCCCATTTTCCTGAGGGCTCCCCGAACCATCTTATCTAGAGCTGTCACCTCCCACCTGACACTCTTTCCCTGCCTCTGTGTTATTTTTCTCTGTATCACTTATCAGCAACCCACTTACTGTATATTTTACTCACTTACGTATTATCCCCTTTCCCCAACTAGAATGTAAGCTCCACGAAGAAAGGGATTTTCGTGTGTTTGTACCCCTCTGTATCCTTGTAACGAAAATAGCACTTACCTAGTAACAGGCGCTTAATAAATGCTTGTAGCCTCATAAGGATATTTCATGAAGTGACATCATATACAAAGAAGAAAAAGTAAATAAACACATTTCATGACTTTGAGCAACGCAGAGGTAAAACATGACAACACACGTGAGGGAAAGCTGTTGACAACACCAAAGGTATCATTTCTTTTCATCTCCTGGAATAAAATAACAAGAGAAAGAAACCTGCCACGGGGAAGATCCAGCAGAGTGTAGTTAAAGTTCTCCCTTCGGGGATCTACCTTCAAGTTGATTAAGCAGTGAATGAAGCTCTTGGCTTCACGCGCACCCTTCCTAGCTCACATCTGCGTGAACCAAGCATCCACAGGAGGGGAGAAGCTTCCTTTCTGTGAAAGGCAGTTTGTGTTCATCATTTGATTTACCCTCAAGGCTGAGCAAAAGGATACTTACCTAATTTGTATTTAATATTTTCACCACGTGAAAGACGTTCTCCAGAATTTCCTTCGTGGTTTAGTCAATAATGTGTTCACTTAGCACAGTCATTGCTAATTAGTTAAGTACTCAGTATTTAGTAGTGTTACGGAAATGACAGGCCAGCAAGAAACAAGCACCACTCGGAGGGTTGAGTACTCAGATGTATTACGCCGGCGGGCTCAGAGGGGCTTCTGCTCCGGAGCTCTGAGCACCTCCAAGACGTGTGCGTGAGGTTTTATAGGGTTAATTACAAGCTTGGGGTATTTGGCCAAAAGGCATGGAACAGCTTTAGCAGCATCATGATCACAAAAGTGGGGGCAGGGAGGCAGCAAACCAACATTTCAAGGCCAGATATGTCTCTTTGAAAATCCAGCTGGCTAGCAAAAAAAAAAAAAACATGAACAGGGAATCAGCAAACTGACACTTATTAACTTAGATTTACGAGTTAGCCCAGCAGAACTCAGATCAGTGATCCGACACTTGTTACACTCAGATTTGTGAGTTAGCTTGTTAGCCCAGCCCGGCTTTTCCTTCACACTAGGAAAGAATTATCCATGTGTTTCTGAAAGTGTTCCCCCTCTATGAGGATGCTGGCTTTCATTGGAATACCAGCCATAAATGTGTCTACAACCATATATGTATATGCTATCTTAAATTAACTGATTTTATTCTGAGGCACATAGGAGTTACATGTGTTGAAGGAAGGACAGCTCATTGCTACCCTCTTCCATATTTCCCTAAGAAATCTGAACACTGGTTGTGGCTTGGAAAAAGCCCTTCTTGGGTGTTTAAATATATAAGCCATCTTGTTGGCAATTGTTTTCACTCGCACCATTTTTTCCCTTCCCAATGTTCCCCATGCCCACTTTGCCACACTTTCCCCTGGAAAATTTCTCTTTAAACCTAACCCCACCGGTAAGGACTTTTATAGCATAAATGCTTTTTTTTTTGGCTTAAAAATAAAACAACAGCATTTCTCTCATCTGCGGATTACTCATCTAAACGAGTAGGGTTTAAGAAAGGGTACAGCAAACCCAGCTATGGTGGATCTATTTTAGTATGTGTACATATGTGTAAGCCTGGGTGGGGGGAGCTATTTTTTTTTTGAATAGCATTCCTAAGAAGTCACATTTGTTCAGCACTTCTAATTTGCACCAACATCTGTCACATTCCACCTTTTATGTCTGTGACATGGAATTTCTAGGATGCATTAAAAGTGGGCATCGGATTTTCTAAACCATCGCGTGGTTCCTAATTTCCTGTCTTCTCTCTCCACCTTTTCCTCTCTCTGTCCCCTCCTCACAGGGCTGATAGTCTACCTAGGAATGATGGGGGGAGCCTTCGTCCTGGGGGGCCTGGCTGATAAACTGGGGAGGAAGAGAGTCCTCAGCATGTCCCTGGCTGTCAATGCCTCCTTCGCCTCCCTCTCCTCCTTCGTACAGGGATACGGATCCTTTCTCTTCTGCAGACTCATCTCGGGCATAGGGTACGTAATCACAGAGGCTAGGCTGGAGGCCCCTGGACCAATGGTCCGCCCATCCTGGTACTCTGCCTCTGAGTGGTACCTCCAGAAAACCTCGGACTGAGTTTTTTGTCTGACTTCCAAGATGCTGTGTTAAAGTTGAACCTTAAAAAGGGGCTAGGTGGTAAAGTCAGTGGATAAGGGCAAAATAACCGACATTGTCTTGGTTGGTCTTTCGAATTTACTGGCATATTTGATCACAGAGCCTAAGGGTGAGACAAGGCACTTTGGTTCCTGTTATGACCATTTTTAGTGTCTGACTTGATTCTTTCTTTCTGGCATTTTTCTTTCTGCAGTATTGGGGGTGCTCTGCCCATTGTTTTTGCCTATTTTTCTGAATTCTTGTCCCGGGAGAAACGAGGAGAGCATCTCAGTTGGCTGGGCATCTTCTGGATGACTGGAGGCATCTATGCATCTGCCATGGCCTGGAGCATCATTCCACACTATGGTGAGTGCACTGGCACAAGAGAGCCCAGGGGCCCTAGTTCCTATGGTACCTGCTTCCAAGCAGCATTTCCTGTCCTCCGCCTTATTCCTACAGTCACACACAGTTCCTGTGTATGGCCTTGATCTTTCTAAAGAAATTCCAACCCTGGAAACACATTGCTAATTTCCGTGCTCATGTCTTTCTGGAAATCATACAGTCTGTCCTCCCTTCCTTCCTCCCTCCCCCACTCCTTTCCTTTCTTCTTTCCTCCCTTTTGTTTGAAAGGACTTCAACCTTCATCTCCTACAGCCCTCGTCCTCACAGCAAGTTAGGCCTGGTAACCCCATTTTATAGATGTCACAGAAACCAAGAAGTCAACGACTTGGCCAAATTGATGACTTGGCCTTGGCATGACCTTGAAGCCCGATGCTGCTCTCTCGCTCTGTGTGGTTTTCTTGTATACTTTCCGTTCTGGTGCCTGCTGTCACTCTTATTTGGCTGTAGACATGGAGCAGCCCTTACAGACAAGGTCTTGGTTTCAGCCAGGACAATTTCATTATCGTGGGTAATTGCAAAAACTGGATTTTCCGGATGGAGACTTGGCAACATTAACTTTCACTGTTGGTTTTTATTAAGAGTCAAGTAGGGAGAAGGCAGCAGTTTTGAATTTGATTACACCTTTTGAGTATCCTGGGTAGTACCATCAGCATCCTTCAAAATTGTTTCTGGTAAACCACTGATTATGGACGTAAGCTTTGCCATCATCTAGAATCCTGCAGCCCAGAGGGAGTAGCAGACAGCTGCCCCTGAAACCAACCCTTCTCCACCCATTCCCCTCCATGGTGGGCTTGCTTTAAATCTGACCCTCTCTGATGCATATTCTGGGCTAATGGAGGCTTCTGTCTTATCTTTTAAACAAGGAGCTTTGGCGAAGACAATGCCTATTGTATTAGTTAAGTGGGTGCTGCCTGTATTACCCTCCGAAACCTCTGAAATCTCAGTGGTTTCATACAGTAGAAGTTTCCCCTCTTGTAAAGCCTGGCTGGTTGTTTCTCATCTGCAGGCAGCTCTGCTGCATCAGTAGTCCCAGGGCTTAGGTTGCTTCCAGCATGTGACCCTGCCCTCTTCAACGCGGAGCCTACCTGTGGGTTTGGGGAAGGAGCAGGGGCAGCTGTACATGGGTGGTTCTGGAGGGCAGGCTAGGAAGTGGATCACAGCCCCTCTGCTCATATCCCATTGGCCCCCAGATCTGTAATATGACCACACGCTATGGCAAAGGACCCTGGAAAATGTAACCTAGCTGTGTGCCCAGAAGTAGAAGAAATGGGTTTGGGAACATCATGTAATTTTTGGCATATCCCACTGGACTTTGTGTCAGAGACAGAGAAGAAATATGAACAGGAAAAGTGACATAAATTGTTGAAGGGTTTTCCAGATAATTCTGTCACTGTTGGCAGTTCTCCTT